TTTCTTTCTTTCTTTCTTTCTTTCTTTCTTTCTTTCTTTCTTTCTTTTCTTTTCTTTCTTTCTTTTCTTATCTGTGAGTCCCTTAAGAGGCCAAAAGAGGCTGTTAAATCCCCTAGAAGTGTAGTTACAGGCAGTTGTGAGTCACCTGGTGTGGGTCCTAGGAACCAACTTAAATCCTCCAAAAGAGAAGTGGTATTCTTAATTGCTGAGCCATTTCTCCAACCCCTTTCACAATGGTTCTTAGCTTCGGCCTACATAGAGGAAGTAACTTATTACATGTAGCTCATTAGTGGCGCCGCTAAGTCTGTCTAGTTTCAAGGTGACTTTGAACATTAGGAATCATTACCAGTGGGAGCCTGGTCTTGTACTCTTCTAGGGCCAAGACCCATCATATCCTTTGGTTGTCTTTCAAGCCACAGTGCTGGTAGAATCAGCAAGAATGTCATGGTTGGGAATTGTAGTAGAGTAAGCTGGAGGAAACAGAGGCAGAGCTGAGCCCAGAGCATCTGGCTGTGAGTCAGGTGGGCCTCACTCACAGGATTTGTTCCTTGGCTCAGGAAAGAACTGTCTTCTTGGAAAAGAGGGTAAAAAGCATCCGGATCTCTGCCTTGTGACCCAGCCCCACAGCCTGCTAGCTCACTCTGGGCAGTTGCAAGATGCTCTGAGGGACAATTTTATGAAAGCACATTCTTTTCTCTCATATCAGACTTCACACTCAGCACAAGTTTCTGGATGTCTCCTTGGCAACTCCAGGTGGGGACAGGGCAGATTCTAGCACAGCTTTATCTTGAACATAAATGGAAAAGAATATAAAATCATCTTATAGAAAGGGCTTAAAACATAGTGGGAAAACCCTGGAAAGTATTTGGAATCAGGCATGTTTATAACTGTGCCACAGGAAGAAACTGAGTGTTCCGGGTCCTGCCTAACTCTTGCAGAGAGAGAGAGAGAGAGAGAGAGAGATCGGTCTGTCTTGGCCACTTGCCAGGTTCTCAGTAGAAATTGTGGTTTTAGGTTTTAGGTTCACTATTTCTAGAAACTTTATAAAATCATTCCAGAACTTTCAGGGTAGAGTCCAAGAAAGGAGGCATGCTGTTTCATGGTGTGTTTAGCAAAGCACGTCTTTCCTCAGGCTCAAGGAGTTCAGCAGCTGCCAGAGAGCCTGGCTCTCCAGCTCTCTGTGGCTGGGACAGCCAGATATCTCCAGGGGCAGCTGGCAGGGACAAGGAGGACAGGACGGTAGTGCTCATTGATGCACACTTTCTGTTCATCCTACCTGCTTCTCCTTTTTCCTCTTTCCTTCAAACCGAATATTTCTTGAGCACCTATTTCTGCAGATGCCGCTAAGAATCAGCCCACCCGCCCCACCCTGCCCTTCTTCCTGGTTTTCCTTACAGTGCAGTCTTCTGTTCACATTCTCTTGAAGTGAAATCTTCATCCAATGCCCACTGCTTGTTTTACCTGCCTTGTTTTGTTTTGCTTTGTGAGACATGGTCTTGCTATGCACTTTGGTCTGGCTTTGAACTTGTGGTCCTCCTGCCTCTACTTTCTCAGTGCTGGGGTTACAGAAAATGCCCTTCACTTTTAAAGAATTGATCATCTTGCTCTTTTTTGCTTTTAGAGAACATTCTTTTTGTTACTTGTTTTTAAATGTTAGCTTTCTGATTTAAAATATTATTAAAAGCAAATATAAAACCACCCTGAGACAGTCTGATCTACCCTTCCTACTCTGCACCCCCCCCCTCCGGAATTGGAAACAGTTGTTTCAGTAATCCAACAGATTTATGTTTTATCAGGGTGCTGTTATATAATATTTCCATGCAGTGTAACTACCCCCAAATAGAAATATAAAAGATCAGCATATGTACCTCACACTACATAAGGGTGACGTAGAACTGTGTCCTGAGGACCGAGAGCATACCTCAGTGGCAGGCACTTGTCTCCCATGCTCAAGGTCTAGCACTGCAAAAAAGGAAAAAGGACAGTAAGACTCCATTGTGAGACACCTGTCATAGCCCTGCTTCTGTGTAGCGTCTCTTACCTAGCTGTCCATGATTTTTCCTTCCCTGGTGATCGCCTGCATAGTCCAGTAGGTCCAAGCACACTTGAATATGGGGCTTTGAAAATGGTGCCAGTTGTTAATACAGTCCTTTTCCTCCCAGGGTGAAGGCTGCGCAGACTGAGTTAGGACAGCAAATCCTGGCTGATTTTGAAGAAGCATTTCCTTCCCAGGGTACCAAGGTACTGGTTTGCATTTGCCTCCAACCTTTGGACGTTATCACTATCCTCATACTCCTGTAGTGAGTGTGAGGTACATGAGTGGTAACTCACGTTGTGCCACTCCAGAAGTGTTGGCTGGCACAGGCCACTGGCTGCCAACTCAGACTAGCCTCTGTTTTAAGTATCCCGACGCAATGCTGATCGTTTATCTGTGTCCTTCCGGAGTCAGAAAGAGGACTTAGGCCAGGAATGTGATTTGGTTTGTAGAGTGTCTACCTACGCATGCTTGAGGCCTGGCTTTGATCACTAGCCCCACATAAATTGGGTGTGGTGGTGCTTGTTTGTAATCTAAGCCCTAGGAAGGGGGAGGCAAGAGAATCACAATTCCCAGTTCATCCGTGCCTATATAGTGAGTTTGAGGCCAGCCTGGGCTACATGAGACCCTCCTCTGGGGGGAAAAAAAGTACATTTGTTTGGTTCAATTTAATGTATGTCAAATCTTGTATCTAGTCTGCCCTATAAACTCACCCCCCCCCCCCAGCTGTGTTTAAAAAATCTTCAAACCACAGTGTTTTTTAGGATTGTTACATAACACTGGTTTTGGTTTGCTGAGAAGACAGCTGGGAGGTGTGTCGGGAGCTTATGCAACTCTGACACAGTCCAGAGACTCACTTTTAATGATGGGTCCTCTTTGAGATCTTCGAGCCTGTTAGTGTCTGCGTGGCCCACAGGCTTTCGCCTGGGAGCTGTTGGGTACGTGTCTCTCTCCTAGGCTTCCCTCCCCTGCCATCACTGTGCTCTTGTTAGTCCATGCCATTAGGTAACTGCTAGTAGCTCCATCCTTCACATCGCAGCAGATGTCATCTTAATGCTTTGCATGTGTCTCAGAGGACAGAGCCCACAGAAGCTTGTTTTCTCTGTTATTTGAGCTATTTCAAGAGGGAGCGTTGTTGAAGGCGAGGTGAAGCGGAGCACATGGCCAGCAGCATTCCTTGCTGGGCTTTGTGGGTGGAGATGGGGATATACGTTCACTTGTGAGCCAAGGGGCATTTCCTGCATCTGCTCTATAATTCAAAAATCTTAATCACTTTTCCTCTGCTGCGTTTTAGGAAGTAGGTGGGGATGGCAGCCTGGCTTGGATAGATTGCTGGTCTCTAGAGGACACAGCTCCTGACCTTAATGTCTCCGTGCTTTGTAGCTGCCTGCCAGGAATGTGATTATTTGTAAAGCACTTCACTTCGCAAACCTCATTTCTCTACTCACCCAGTGCAACTCAGGAAAGGCCAAGATTGAGATGCCGGTATTCCTGTTGACCCTATGAGGAGAATGCCTGGCTAATGGCTGCTCTTTCAAGCTAGCGGCTGGTTGTAAACCATTGTCTTCCTGTGCCCTCTGCCCCATCTCATTGCATGATGCTTCAGAAGGATGTGGGGGAAAGCTGTCTTTACTGTTCGCCCATCATCTAACCATGGTCTACTTTCTATCTTTTCTCCCAAGTCCCGGAGGGCATAAAGCGTTAAAAGGGTTTAACGACTGACTTCCTTTTCTGGCTATTAACTTAATGGAATGTTGTTAAGAGTTTTTTTTCCCCCTCCCTTTTTAAAAGGCTATTTTTCTAAAAGGCCTTATGTTATTAATCCTAATTTACAAATTGGAATAATTTTTTTTAAAGTATCGATTGGTGGGTATGCCTGCCACCCCAGCAGACTGAAGCAGAAGGATCATGAGTTAGCTTGGACTACATGGCAAGTTCTGATATCCTGTCTTAAAAAATTAATTGAGCTGGGCATGGTGGCACACACCTTTAATCTCAGCACTTGGGAGGCAGAGACAGGCAGATCTCTGTAAGTTTGAGGCCAGCCTGGTCTACAGAGTGAGTTCAGCACAACCAGGGGTATACAGAGAAACTCTGTCTTGAAAAACCAAAAACCAAACAAACAAATTTAGAAAGACAATAAATGTGAACTTTTTAAAAAAGAAAAAATTAATTAAAAATTTAAAATAAAGTATCTAAGTGTGATGGTTTGAATAAGAATGTCTCCCATAGTTTCTTGTGTTTGAATACTGGTCCCCGACTGGGAGAAGTGTTTTGAAGGGTTAGGTGTGCCACTTGGGGAGGGTCTTGTGGTTTCAAAAGCTAGCACCATTTTGGCACTCTCTCTTCCTCCTACTTTTAAATAAGGATGTAAAGTCTCAACAACTGTTCCACTGCCCACGTGCAGCCTGCCTTGCTCTGGAACCATGAGCCCTAATAAACTCTTCTATAAGTTGCCTTGGTTGTGGTGTCTCTTCACAGCAATAGCAAAGTAACTAGGATACCAAGATAATCTAGTAAATTTTTTGTAAATGAGAAAACTTAAACCTCTGACCCCATAAATTTTGGCCTCCATGACTTGTCAGTGAGCTCAAGCATTTTCATCCTGAAAGCCAGAGTTACACATTCAGTGAGTTCAAAGAACAGCAGAGTAGCCATTCAGAAAGGAGCAGGTCATTATAACAGTTTTGGCTCACCTGAGTAGCAGTTGAGATGTAAAGAATTGACAAAAACAGTGAGGAAAGCTTTGGAAGAACTTGTGCTCATCCTGATTCAAGTTCATTGCTTTTCAGGTTAAGTGATCTTTCCCACCAGGCTAGCTAGTGAACCAAGAGCTTCCAAAATTCTTTGTACTGTAGGGACGATGGTCAGCACATACATTCAGTGATGCACTAGCAGGTCAGTGAGATCCAGTTGGTTTGGCAGTAAACAAGGCCTTCTTAGCTAGTATATCCTTACAGTCCCTCCCCACGTCTCCTCTTCTGGTCACTGAGTCATTGTCAAAGTATTTCACCTTTGTCTGTGTGGACTGGCTCTCAGAGAAACAAGGTTTGGAACCTGGGTGTGGGTTTTTAAAACCACCACCCTCTTCGTCATAAACATACCTCGTTAAGATCAGGAATGACAGTTGGGCCTGGTAGGCATGCCTGTGATCCCAGCACTTGGAAGGCTGGAGGAGGAGGACCCTGAGCTTGAGGCCAGCCTGGGCTACATAGCAAGACCTTGTCTCTAAGCAGGAAGCCAGGCAGGTAACAGCACAAGCGAACAACAGAACAGGAGTACTAGGAAGGTTGGAGCAGGAAAAAGCAGTATATGTTAGCAACTTTTGAAGCCCTTCAATGGAATCTCTGTTGTCATTTTGGCTTTTTAGGTCTTTCTCAATTTTGATTTCTTGTGATCTTTGCTGGTACTGTTTTCATTAATATCTTGCTGTTAATTCCCAGGCTAGTTTTTAGGTAGGCTAGTGCAAGACTGGGGTAATGTTCCTTTCTCAAAGAACAGCTAACTCAAATATCCATGTCCTGCAGTAAGACAGGTGCCCAAGGAGAGGTGTAGTAGCAGGGAGAGACAAGTAGGAAGCAGCTGTTGTGGCCAGGAGATGGACAGGTACTTCTGTCACCTGAACAACTGTATGTTGTTTGTTTTACAGAGGCCAGGAGGACCCAGCAATGTCCTGAGAGATGCATGCCTGGTGGCTAATATTTTGGACTCCAGAATCAAACAAGAAATCATCAAAAAGTTTATTAAACAGCATTTATCAGAGTATCTAGTACTTTTTCAAGAAAACCAGGACGTAAGTATTGCCTGGATGAGGTCAGAAGAAACAGTGTCGTTTTACTGAAAAAGAAGCTGATGCTGCCTTGCTCCTGACCCCTGCTTTACTAGTCCAGTTAGCTGTGGATCGTGCTGTGCCCTGACTCACAGATCCCCAGGCCGACTTTTAGCTCAGTGGTTCTTCACCACCCTGAGTCACTCACCATCTGCAGAAGTTCCTAAAAGCCATAGATCTTCTCTGCCCAAGGAGTGTGCCTGGACATAGCACTTGGCACACAGGCCTAGGGAATGCATAGACCCTGATGCCCAACCATGGGTCCCCAGGTGGAGAAGCCCCAGTTCAAGGAAGTAAGCTGGCATAGATTCTTTTTAAGTGGGAGAAACTTTTTAAGTGAGAGAAACGGAGGCTGGCTGTCTCAGGTCCCAGCTTTTGCTTGCTGTTACTACTTCTGAGCACTGAGTGGTTTTGTTCCCTCCTTCATGAGGTCGCCTGGCTGGACAAAATTGACAGGCGTTATGCCTGGGTGAAACGCCAGCTTGTGGACTATGAGGAGAAGTATGGCCGGATGTTCCCACGGGAGTGGTGCATGACGGAGAGGATCTCAGTAGAATTTTGCCACGTGACGAGGTAAAGCTCAACAGCCCCCTGCTTCCAGTCCTGTCTTGAGGCAGTTCTCTCTGTCTCTGTCCTCCTTACCGCCCTCCTGAGTCTCCCCCAACCTTAGTTGTTTGGGAACTGAACCCAGAGCCTCATGCATACTAAGCAAGTGTGCGACCATTTGGTTATACCCCTATTCCAAATCTTCCTTAAAAACTGATAGAAAGTACCTTCAATTTGTACACTTGAAATACACTGTGAGACAAAGCCCCTTTTTATGTGATACTGATTTCATTTTTAAAAACTGGAATTTTAATATTTAGTTATGTCAGTTTTAAGTTCACGTCACAATTAGGTGGTCATTACAGAGATTCCCATGCACCCCTGTCGCTGCACACACACATATGCACACCTTACCCCCAAACGTCTCTTCCTCCCCCTCACTGAACCTACCTTAACGTGTTCACCAGACTCCATGGTTTCATTAAGGTTCACTGTTGGTGGCATACTTTGCTGTCATAGATCAGAGCTGCAGTATTTTTGATTTATTAATTTTCATGTGTATGGGCGTTTTGTCTACATGTGTGTCTGTGTCCCACATGCATGGCTGAGTACCCACAGAGGCCAGAAGAGGCCATAGGATCCCCTGGAATTACCAATGGTTGTGAGCTGCCATGTGGGTGCTGGGAATTGAACCCAGGTCCTTTCGAAGAGCATGCAGTGCTCTTAACTGCTGAACCAGCTCTTCAGTCTCTAGACACGATGTTTAATAAACAGTCAAATCAACTTCTTGAGAAGTTGCTTACTAAATTCTCTCAGCTTCAGTTTGGCACGCTTGCCAAGCAGGCCCGTGCAAAAAAAAGCATGCAGTGCACTGGGAGTCTACGAAAGCCAGCAAGTCTCCTGGGCATTGCTGCCTTCTATTGTCCCAGCTAGAGCAGCGCTGCTGCCAGGCCTCATTGTGGGGATTTTGGCAAACATCCTACAGACACAGCATTCTCACACACTTAGAGGCTCTTTGTTTGGCTCTGTTGTTTGTGTGGGAAGATGATGACAGCTTAGCGCTTACTCAGAACTCACCTGTCACTGTTACCAAAAGCCTGCACTTTGCAGCAGAGCACCTCAGGCAACACGGGCAGGAAGCAGCCAAGCATGGAGTGTCACCTTTCACTGGGCTTCCGATGGGCATTTCTAGGGTCCTTGATCTGGATGATGAGGTGTATACTAAGCTCTCTGGAAGACAAAGAGCTTTGTAATTCATGACTTGTGAAATTATATGAGACATATAAAATATATAGGAATAAGCTTCACCTCGTGTTATTAACAGTGACTGAAAATTTAAAGATACAGGCGAGATATTATGCTGCCTTTAATCCCAGCATTTGGGAGTCTGAAGCAGGCAGATCTCTGAGTTTGAACCCTGGTCTACAAATCCATTTCCAGGCCACCCAGGGCTATAGAGTAAGTCCCTGCCTCAAAACAGGCAAACAAACAAAACCACATAGAGATAAAAAGATAGTAATAACCATGTTATCCAATTAGCATCTGTAATTCTTGATGCGTTTTTACTGGGGGATGACTTCACCACAAATTCTTATTTATAGTGTGGATAGTCTCTCTGTAGTGTAGATTCACTCTCCAGGAATGATGGTAGAAAGAAACTGTTCATGAGTTTGAAAATAGCTTTTTTACAGTATATTCTTACAATTGTTTTATCATAAGTTACTGTTAATCTCTTACTCTGCCCAATTTATAAGTCAAACTTCTCCATAGATATATATGGAGAAAGCATAGCATGTGGACAGCTAGGTACTACCGTGGTTTCAAGAATCTGAGGAATGTTCTTAGATTCCCCTATGTCTCCTGAGGGAAGGAAGACTGTTATGTGTCTATTCCCTAGGCTTTAGACTAGTTAGTTGTAGACCTCAGAGTTGAAATGAGAGTTGTACATATTTTTCCTGTAGGAATGTAGGCTATTTCCTTTGACATATACTTAATATATATTTGGGGGGTGTGTGTGTGTGTGTGTGTGTGTGTGTGTGTGTGTGTGTGTGTATCCTGCATGTATTATGTGCTCCCATGTGCATGCTGGTGTCTGTGGAGGCCGGAAGAGGGAATCCACTCTCCTGGAACTGGAGACGCAGGTGGTTGTGAGACACCATGGGCGCCAGGGTTTCTGCAAGAACAGCAAGTACTTTTAACCATTGAGCCATCTCCCCAGCTCACTTTGCCACATCTTGAATGAAAGATGTTTGATTGTAGTGTTCTTTTTTTTTTTTTACTTTGAAGGGCAGAACTGTCCAAAATCATGCGAGCCAGAGCTAAGGAAATTGAGGTGAAATTGCTTCTTTTTGCGATTCAGAGGACAACTAACTTTGAGGGGTTTCTTGCAAAACGCTTCTCCGGTTGCACCCTGACAGACGGAGCCCTGGTAAGACCTTCCTGGGGCGCTGGTTCTGGGTCCCAGAGGATGGGGCGGCCGGGCTCCATTCACTGCTTCTCTGTAGAGTCTTCTTCTTTGCTCCCTGGTCTCAGCTTTCAGAGAACTAGAATGACAGGCACATGCCATCGCTTCCAGTTTATTTTTTTTCTCTTTTAACAAGGAAAATGGGCCAAATCAGTGGTTTCTAAAACTCGTAACAAAACTTGATGTGGAATCTACTTGACATTATTGTTTGTTTGCTTCTAACGTCCACCATATGTTCCACACTGAGCTAAGTTCATTTACCTGAAATCACCTACTTTGAGTCTTCCCTGTAGAAGGCCCTTGATATGCTCATTTGACTTCCAGAGGTCAAAAAGATAATGGCAAAAAACATAGCTACCCTGGTGGAAGAATAAAGATGGAGTCATGCCTGGAGCACCACTCCCCTGTGCACCCCTCACCTCCGCAACATTCAGGCTCCCAGTTTTCCAGTTCTAAGGTCCTGGCACTTGGGTAGGAGTCTCTTATTGCTAATATAAGACCTACCTTAGCATAGGGAGCTGGTCACTCAGCACTGAGCTGAAGAGGGATGCTATTTTAGGAGAGGACAGCAAAACCACTCAATAGGACCACTCTGTGGGGAGAACAAAAATTACTGGGAGACAAGCTGCAGGCTGTTTCATGGGGGTAGAGGCTAGTAGCCTCGCCGGGAGCCTGGGCTTTATAGGCTTCCTGAAGGCTTAAGGGCAGATTCCTCCCTTTTGGGAGATTTTTTCCTCCTGTCGTAGGTAGACTAGTGTCCCTGGGACAAGCCTACTAGGAGTACTCTGTGCCTGCTGCAATTAGGCCCGTTTATGGGTAGCAGATGTCCTTTTGCATATGGAGAATGGCCATTTAGGGAGGAACATAGAAATTGCAGTTCTGATGAACAAGGCCTTGAGCACCAGGGTTTCTGAGAAGAGCTGAAGTTAGGTTGTTTCCTCATGGCCATCTCCCTGGCTAAGCTCAGGTAGCCAGCCATTGTAGGTTTTGGCAGCTGTGCCGCCAAAAACTCCCTCTCAGTTGCCTCTGAGGCTGGGTGGTCATGAGTGGGCCTGGAGTGGGACTGCTGTCCCACTACTGTCCCCTAGTCCTGTCCCTCCTCCTTTGCTGCCTCAGAGAAGACTCTTTGAAAATTCTTTTTTGAATACTATTTTTTTTAAGGTCTCAGAATAAAATACAAAATGGATCCAGGTGTATCTTGATACTGTTTAATACATTTTATAGAAAGAGGTAGGCTCCTTGGAAAGCAGTCAGGGAACAGGCAGTAAAAGAGCCACATTGTCCAGACCCTGCCTTGCTGTTGGCTTCTTTTGCCACCCCAACATACACACACTCTCGCCAGCCTCCTTTTAAGCCCTGGTGACTTTGACTTCTAACTGTTAGCCTTAAGAATGGCCTGCCTTGTCTGTCCTAGTGCTCCAAGCCCCATCCCATCCCTTCAGCTCTTCCTGCAGGAAGGAAGCGGCCAGGGTGTTCGCCTCCTGCCTCAACTTCTGACCCTGCAGGAGGGATTGAAAAGAGTCTAAGGCGCACATGCCTGAAATTAAAAACAAATGTCTGTATGTGGTTTAACTGTATCCATATGCATCTTTAGTGACTTGATGATTAGATTGAAGGTGAGCAAATTCTGCCCAGCTTTCTGCTGAAAGCAGAGTAGATTGGGGTTAACTGCTTCTATGAATTTGAATTTGAATTTCTTTGTCTTTTTAAAAAATAAGAATCCCCTTCTATCCTGTAGATAGGGTCCATTTCCTCTTGGCTAGTGCATAGGTTGCCCTTCCAAACAGAGCTGTCATTAGCTTAGAGGTCATTTTAATGTAATATATACTTGCCCAGCTTAAAAAATAACATTATAAAGATAGAAACTTGCAGAAAGAAATTTCTTTTTTGTCTTGTTTTGAGTTTTGGATACACAGAGCCCTACAGCCCAGGCAGTCCTAGAATTTGGGATCCTCCTGCTTCTACCTCCTGGGTCTGGTGCTGCACGCATGCACCACTACACCCAGCTCGTACTGGTCAGCCCTGAAGTTCATACACAAGAGCGTTTAGTTAAAAAGCCTGCACAGCGCATCCCCCCACACCTCAACCTTCTGTCGGCTTAACGCCTGCCTTAGGAAGGCTGTCAGGTGAGGGGGAGCTCAGGGCTTCCCAGGTGAGGGACCTGTTTCCCTATCCACAGGGCACCAGGAGACTCAGAGTCATAGCAACTCCACTTGGAAGTATGACTTCAGACCTGCAGTTAAGTGAACTTAAGGCTCCTAACTAATTCAAATTTCCACTAGTTTTATGCATTTAATTTTTTGGTGCAGGATCTCAGGTAGCCCAGGCTTGCCTTGAGCTCACCATGTAGCTGTGTCTAGGCAGGGACTCTTCTACTGAGCTGTATCTCCATCTAGAGAGTTGTGTTGAAATGGTGTCATGTCCAGTCTGGCTTCAAATTCCTTAGCTGAAGAGATACTGCTGCCTCACTTTTCCAAAAAATCTGGGACTTCAAGTACTCACCAGCAGGCCTAGCTTAACTAATTTAATTGTTGTGGCTTCGGCCTGGTAAATTATCTTTTTCACTATTCCTTCTCCCCTTCCCTAAAATATCAGCAATGTTATTTGTTTGTTTTTAGACAGGGTCTCACTAAGTTGCCAGGCTGTCCTGGAACTCGCTGGATAGCACGGACTGGATTCTAATTGGAATCACTAACACACTGAGCATCCTAGATTGGCCTTGAACTTGAGATCCTGCTACCTTTGCCTCTAGAGCAGTGGTTCTCAACCTTCTTAATGCTTCAACCCTTTAATACAGTTATTCATGTTGTGATGATCCTAACCATAGAATTATTTTGCTGCTACTTCATAACTGTAATTTTGCTACTGTTGTGAATCATAAAGTAACTATCTCATATGCAGAATATCTGCTATTCAACCCCCAAAGGGGTCAAAACCCACAGGTTGAGAACCGGTAGTCTAGAGTGCTGTGGTTTTAGGCATGTGCCACTGTGCCTGACCGTATACCAGTAACTCTTAAAAAAACAAAAACCTAGAGCTTAGGAGCATAGGTTTCTAAACATATATACATATGTGGCATTTATATATATATAAATAATCACACGTATCTAAAAACCTCCACACATATATAAATGATATACAGCAGGTCAAGAAGAGGATGCAGGGGATGTAGTCTGAGATGCTTGTCTGGTTGTTTGAATGCACTGTTTCTCAGCAGCTCTCTGCAAAACCCATTGTCTTACCAATGATTATCTTAAGCTAATACAGCCATCGCAAGGCTTTCTTCATGTACAGAACCCACTGTCTGACTACAAAATAGCACCCGAGTGTTTTGGACAATAATTTAGTAGTTTAAATGTATAAACAGAATTATCTTACAGCTCATAGCAGATACCTCAGGGGGTTTTGATTTCTGTGTTTAAGTTCATGTTTGGTTTTGTTTGTAATACCTCTGGATGATACCCTGGCACTTGGCAGCCGTTCACGCTGTTGTCCAACTTTAGCCTTCTCCTGGTTTTAGGAATTGTAACAGCTTACTCTCCTGTTAGATGCTAAAAGGTCACAAATATATTTGGAAACCCCCTTTCCACTGTCTCCAGGATCCGTTTCTTGTCTTATCCCAGCACCAACCAAACCCTTTTGTCCTTCTTACCATTCGGCTTCCTTTCTGCTGAAACTCCCAGCACCTAAGCATACAAGACACATCTGTTTGTGTATGTGTTGTATGTGTGAGTGTCCTTATGTGTGAGTGTGCTGGTGTGTGTTTACTTACATGTGGAGGCCAGAGGAGGGTGTCAGATCTCTTTCTTAGCCTTATTCCCTTGTGAAAGGGTCGCTCACTGTTGCTCACTAGGCTAGCCAGCAAGCTCCTGTCTGTACCCTGAGCATCAGGGTTATAGGCACAGCAGCTGTGCCCAGCTCTGTAAACATCCATACAGGATATGCACGTGTCAGGAATATGTAACCCATGTTTGGTAAATGAGCAAGGCTTCCTAGAAGAAGGAGCCTCTCAATTGAAGACTAAAGGATGAGTGAGAGTTTTAGCCAGATTAGAATTGGGATAAGGGCACCTAGTCTACATAGTGAGTTCTAGGACGGCCAGGGCTATGTGGAGCGACTCTGCCCTGCAAATTAATGAATTGATAGTTGGAGTAGGGTGGGCAGTGCACAGTCTAGAAAGTGGAGGAGAAGTATGGAGACATGCAGGTGAGAGTGTGGTCCCTGAGCCTCCATGCTCGTCACGGGACAGATCCAGCAAGCCAAATGTTAGGAAGACCTGGATAAAGTAGGTTGCCAGGAAGGCTCATGCTCAGAAAATAACGCCTTTCTCGTGTCTTAATAGAAAAAGCTGGAGTCCCCACCACCATCTACCAACCCCTTCCTGGAAGACGAGACAACACCAGAGACGGACGAGCTGGCACTGGAGAAAGGAGAGTTAGAGCAAGTAAGGCTGCTGGTGTTATAGTGTGTAACCGCCTTGTGCCTCTTCCTGAAAGTGGCCTGGCTCACATCACAGATGGTCTTTGGCCAGGACCACATTCAGAGATCACGGTGGCACTGGGTTTCACAGGAGGCCTTCTGTGAGGGCGCCGTCAGATAACAAAGGGCAGTTTTCCCGCCCCAGTCTATTGCAGAAGAGCCTCCCCTCAGCATTTAGCACCGCATGTTTGCCTCGTCAGCGTGTGAGGCAGAGCTCTGCCTTGTTCAGTGTCTTCTCGGGCTGTCAGGCAGCTTCCTTCCTCTCATCCAATGCCATGCCGATGCGAGATCCTGTGAGGTTAGCCATGCCATGGGCTGGGAAGGGCCTCCACACAGAGCAAGCCAACTTGGAAGCCGCTGGGGAGGCCTTGGAAACATCAGGGTGACCAGCAGCGTCTTTGGAGTTCCTTTCCGGGGCACGCTAGCACTTTTAATTTCCTTTAGCAGTCTGTCCAGCTGGAAATTCCCTCTCCCTTCTGCTTGCAGGACAGGGGCTTTGTCTCTTTGCACTTTTATGACAAGAGAGGTTAGAGCAGTAAGCCAGCCGTTTCCTTTCTGGATTAGTGCTCTTTGTTTTTAATTTTCTACACTTGGCTGCCAGAGGATTATTTGGTGGCATTGTTTCTTTCCAGACACCAGCCAAAGGGAGGTGGCTGGGAGGCCAGCTTGAAGAAACACAGCCACACACTGTGCAGCTAGCTCTGCTTTCTAAGTGGCAAGTTTGGGTAAATTCTGACAGGAGTCAGACGGCAGAATTCCTACAGGCTGTTAAATGTGTCTGTTCCATTGATTAAGTAATTGTAATAACACAGATACCTCATATTTAAGGCACTTTATAATTTCAAAATCTTTACACGCTTTCTTTAATTTCGCTTTCACAGTGCCTCCCTCTGGTTTTACAGGTGATGAAAGTACAGCTCGGAGAGGCTGAACAGCTTGCACAGGGTTACGAGTTTGGAAGTGGAGGGTCCAGACCAGCAGCCAGATCTAACAGATGGAAGATAGAATTCCTAGCCATCCCCCACCCCCAACACACACTTCATGTCTTATTAAAAAGTGAAGGCCGTAGAAATGAAGTTTATGGGCAAAAGTAAACGGGCAGAGCTGAAGGGTTACTGTGAGTCTGTCCCCGAAAACTGGGACTAGCTACAGCTAGCTTAATGCCACGGTATTGCTGGGTAGCACAGAAAAGGGGGTATTGCTTCTGACTCCAGTGCAGTTCTCAGTGTGGGAGCAAGGACTCGGGTTAGAGGGGCCTCTTTTTTTTTTTTTTTTTTGTAAATTACTCCTAGCTGGGCCCCCTGCTCAGTAGATGCATGCCTTGTGCAATCAAGCTTTGTATGGGCCCTTTCTATCTCCCATGCCATGGTTAGAGCCATGCAGTCGGAACACTCAGGTGCTGCTAGCTGGTTAGCTCTGGGGGTTGTTACATGGAATTAACAGAGTCCCTTTGTTACCTTTGCATGGTTTTGCTGCCTAAAATATGACTTTGTTTTTGTCTTCAAACTTTTTCCTTTTCACGAGAGCTAAAAGTGATTATTGTAAGATCAAGACCTCAGGTTCTAAGGACAATAAACATGGTCCTGGACAAGCAGGTGAGGAAAGCAGAGCTCTGAGTGAGGAAAATGTTTGACCTGTGTCTGCCACTCACAGCTACTGGCCTCAGACAGGTTTTAGAGTCTCTCAACCTGCCTGCCTTCTGTGACTTTCACATTGTATTCTTTGATGGCCCAGCAGACATGGAGCTTTGAGAGAGAAAGAGACGGAGGCCCCTGGAGCCAGAGCATCTTCATTCTAAGTCACTTTGTGTGTGGACTTCCAGGCCAAGCTTGTATTGAACCTGAAGTTGACAATGTGTTAAAAGAAACACAAAACATCAAAATTCCCGATCTAGACGACGTCCTCATAATTCAAGGCTGCTCTTCAGTAGTAGCGCTCACACGGTGACCAGTGCTCCCACATGTCACTCCGACCTGTGGCTGGCTAGATGGAGTCTTGGACGCTTTCCCAGCAGCCAGTCGGTTCTGGAGTTTCGTGTACTGAAAGAACAGGAGCTCTTGGGGTACAGGGAAGAGACTCCACAGCATTAGTAGGGAGCCAGCTCAAGTAGGGGGAAGCCCCTGTCTGTTTTCCTGGATTCCTTGAGCTTTCTTCCCGCTGCTGCCTGTAGGCAGTTGGCCCCAAGGGCTCCCTGCTACAGTCTGTGTCTACCTTTGAGGAAAGGAGTGTGAATCTGAAAAGCAGTGCTCACTTCAGGAGAGGACCTGAGTGCTGAGTTGCCAAGATATTCCCAGTGATAAAAAACCAACATCTGCAAAGGGACCAAGGGCACAGGAGGAGAGAGAAGAAATCAGGAGTTTCTGGTTTAAAAATGTACCCTTCTGGTGATCTGAGCAGTTAGATTTAATCTGTTTACATTGGATAGTAATAAAAGGAAATGGGACCAGCTGCAGACCTCCTTACTGTGACAACAGTAACCTTTTATTATTCCATCAAACTCTGGGAGGAAATAGCTTAAACATCTGCAGTGCCTGGACAGAATTCTCACCCTCAGCAGTCCAGCCTGAGTGCTGCTGCTGAATGACTTTAGTGTGCTCTTTAAGCTGAGGATCAGGCTTCGGGGAGCTGCCTGCTGCAAAGGGAGGCACCACTGTGTGCTGAAATTCCAGCACCTGCTCACTAAACGCATTCATAGAGCAGCTGTGGGCAGGCACAGCCCTGTGGAAAAGTGGTAAGAAAGAATCCTAGGCAACCCCTCCTGTTAGCCCTGTCTTGCTTCAGCTTGTGATATAATGCATCAACAGGAACTGGGCACTGTGGTGGCTGGACCAATGAGAGACAAGGCAGAGGTAGAGCAGTCACCTAAGGTGGACTTGGGATACCTGCCTGTCTGACAGTGTTAGCTTTCTGTATCCTGTGGGCCTCAGCATGCCTAGGACCCATGAACATCAGTCTAGATGACTTTGCTAGAGCATCAGAAAGCCATTTTCTCCCACTAACAAGTCTGTGTTTTATACTCCTCAAAGTGCTGTTAGACTTTTTCAGACGTGTTTTTAAAACCATATGTACCATGTTGTACACAGACAGGAAACTATAAGCAAAAGCACAGATTACGATATTCCTAACTGTCTTCAGATGCAGGGTCCAGTCTTTGGAGCTGCTTGTTGATTAAACTGTTTTGCCAGGCAAAGCAGCATAAACGTGTGCCCCTCCTTGGAAGGCTGAGGTGTGACACAGAACTGTCTGTGCCAGTGCAAGCCTGTGACCAGTGCTTGGGACATGTAGGCAACAGGGTCACCTTTGATGATACTGGGTCTCAAAAAAAAAATTTTTTTTTCAAGGAACTCCCAAATACCTTTCATCTAGGTTCCACAGTTGCTAACATTTTTCTGCATTTATCTGATCCCGTCCTCTCCCTCTTCTTCCTCCTCAAAACTGCAGAGCAGTTTGGAAGTATAGTAGAGTCAGCCCTGATCCCTAGACATCTCTTTGTGTACTTAAAAGAACATTCACTTATAGAACCAGAGTGAAAGCAGAAAACTTAACACCAGAAACAATGTTAGTTTCATAATGTAGCCATTTTAAAGGTATTAATAAAAATATTATTAAAAATTGGGAGCCAGGTATGTTGGGCTACACCTTTAATCCCAGCTTTCAGGAGGCAGAGGCAGAGGCAGAGGCAGAGGCAGAGGCAGGAAGATCTCAGTGAATTTGATACCAGCCTGATCTATATAGTGAGTTCCAGGACAGTTCTACATAGAGAAACCCTGTCCCCTAAACAAAAACAAATTAGGAAATTTCACATTAAAAAGTAAGCCAATAAAGCCAAATATAAAACATGATTGATGATATTGTAAACTCCCATTAATAATTACCAGGCTTTATACTAAGACTTATATTTTTGCTAAAGGAAGAAAATATATTTTAAATAAAAGGGTTACTTAGAAGTCAGGCACAGTTGCCTACAGATTGTAAAGATAGCACTAAAGACGTTGAAGCAGAAGGATTGAGGTTCAAGGCCAGCCACAGATACTCAGGTCAAGGCTAGGCTGGTATGCATGGCAAGGCCTTGTAAAACACCAAACTAAATGAGCCAGTACAAAGGCTCAGTGGGTGAAGGTGCTTCTGTACGAGCCTGACAGATTGAGCTCAATCTCCAGAACCTGTGTGAAGAGGGGTTGTGGGTATCCATCAGAGAAGTTTTTATTAGCCAGCTGGTAACTACACTGAGTGTTCAGGATTCCAGTGTAGCCCCAAGCCTTTCTCGGGGTGAGCTCTTAAGAAATAAAACAAACCAAAAAACACCAAAAACATATCCTGTGTTGACACACTTCAGCTAACAAGAACAATTTGCCAGAAGCAGAACTACAGAAGCTAAAAACCAAGGTTAATGCATCTAGAGACTTTCCCAGAACTATGGGCTTCGCTGATTAGACCTTTGTTTCAGTTTTGGCAAGTGGTGCTGTCTGCTTGCTGAGTTTTACAGCCTAAATGGCATGTCCATCATGGAGTCAGTTGTGCTGAGGTCTGGGAGTCTGTTACAGATGGAATGAGAGAACTGGCTCCACAAAGTTGTTCTCTGACCTCCATACACTTGTCATGGCATCTCTCTCTCTTTCTCACTAAAAAGCAAAACAATACAAAAGATGAGTAGTGCAGGTTAGGGAGGTGCCCTCGTGTGAGGCCTTGAGTTTGGATCCCTAGAATCCACCTAAAAAGCTGGGAGTGGTCGGAAGCACATATCGTCCCAGCCATGTGAGATGGGGCTGAAGCAGGCAGATGCCTGGCACCCACTGGCTGGCTAGCCTAGCCTGCTTGGCAAAGCTCCAGGCCAGAAGGTGCAAGGCACTTGAGAATGACTCCCTAGGTTCTTTTCACGTCACACCTCTCCCCGCCTGTGCCGCACACCTACATGAACACGTGAACTCCTCAACACACACGAAGAAGAATAACACTAATGATTAA